AAAAGTTTGAACAAATGAAGACAAAGTGAGTGGCTACAACTACACAGGGATGTATTACTTTGGCATTTCTTATAAAACTAATCAAATACGCAACCCAAAGGCTCCAAAGTGCCCTGGTTGACAACTTGTGATCGACATAATCACGAGTCTGTCTGCCTTCACAAAACTGTAGTAGTATTTGTTTCATAAATGCCTATCACCATAGGTAGACTGTTCATTTTAAAATAACATATACTTTACCTTGAAGTTAGCAAATGGCAATGGTGATGCTCCCGAAGAGCATCACATGAGCAACTTTCTTCCTCCAAGCTGTAGCCGTCAGTCTTCATGAGGTAGCTGGTGACTCTAATGGGTTTTTATAGCACAGCAGTGCGACTCTTGTGCCCTGTCTGAAAGGGCTGGGGAGGAGGAGGGGTGTTCGGGGTGGTCCCCTCCTTCATCCATCAAACAACCTGTAAAGTTGGCAGCTAAAGCATTATGCAGCGGGAGCGGCCATGATTCTGCACCTGCTCGCATCCTGAGCGCTCTCTCTGACTGAGGTTTATTTATTAAAAAAATGGCTATACCTCTGCATTTCCCAGTATTTAGCTTCATCCATCTTCCTACCAACTCTGATCATCTTCCCTGTCCCTCCTGGAGAAAAGAAACCCCACAGCATAATGCCTCCACCAGCATAATATTTAAAGGGCTGTGTAGTGTGATCACTTTTTATGGGGTCTCTTTCTGACCAAGTTTCTTCCGCCAGATTGTTTTCATGAGGTTGTATATCAACATCTCTGTGATGAGCGTTTTCCAGCCTCTAACACAGTAACCACATATTCAAACCCTCAAGGGCTAGTATCCTGCTACATCTAAATTGCCCTTGCCCTACAAACCTAAATCAAATGGCTAATCAGCTCACTGGCAGCAAGGCAAGGCAAGGCAAGGCAAGGCAAATTTATTTGTATAGCACAATTCAGTACAAAGACAATGCAAAGTGCTTTACATGATTAAAATACAGGAAGATAAAACATTGAATCAAAGCAAGTAGGAAAAAATAAAAAACAAATAAAATAAAATAAAAAATGCAGAAACAAAAAAAGAATATTAAAAACAGTTGGATTAAAGAAAACATGTTTTTGTTGAATTGTTTAACTGGAACAGTCGAAGGCAATCCTAAAAAAATTTGTTTTTAGTCTTGATTTAAAGGAACTCAGGCTTTCCGCACTTTTACAGTTTTCTGGAAGTTTGTTCCAGATAAGTGGAGCATAGGAACTAAATGCTGCTTCTCCATGTTTAGTTCTGGTTCTAGGTATGCAGAGCAGGCTGGAGCCAGAAGACCTGAGTGGTCTGGAGGGTTGATACACTGATAGCAAGTCTGTGATGTATTTAGGTGCTAAGCCATTCAGAGATTTATAGACTAACAGAAGTATTTTAAAGTCTATTCTCTGAGATACAGGGAGCCAGTGTAAGGACTTTAGAACTGGGGTGATGTGCTCTACTTTCTTAGTCTTAGTGAGGACACGGGCAGCAGCGTTCTGGATCAGCTGCAGCTGTCTGATCCACTTTTTAGGCAGACCTGTGAAAACACCGTTGCAGTAATCAATTCGACTAAAAATAAACGCATGGATTAGTTTTTCCAGATCATGCTGAGACATTAGTCCTTTAATCCTGGAAATGTTCTTCAGGTGATAGAAAGCCGACCTTGTAATTGTCTTTAAATGCTTTTGGAGGTTCAAGTCTGAATCCAACACTACACCTAGACTTCGGGCCTGATCAGTGGTTACTAGCTGAAGCGACTGAAGCTGTGTGCTAACTTTAGATCTCTCCTCTATTGGTCCAAAGATTATTACTTCAGTTTTGTTTTTATTCAGTTGAAGAAAATTATGGCGCATCCAGGCATTGATTTCTTCTAAGCATTTCCTCAGTGCTTGAATTGGTTCATAGTCACCTGGTGACATGGTGATGTAAAGCTGTGTGTCGTCTGCATAGTTATGGTAGCTGATGTTGTTGTTTTTTATTAACTGAGCAAGAGGGAGCATGTAGATATTGAATAGGAGGGGACCCAGAATGGACCCTTGGGGAACCCCACATGTGATTTTTGTCATCTCTGATGTAAAGTTGCCTACTGACACAAAAAAGTCCCTGTCCTTTAAGTAGGATTTAAACCAGTTGAGAGCTGTACCAGAGAGGCCGACCCAGTTTTCCAGGCGCTCTAACAGGATGGAGTGATCGACAGTATCGAATGCTGCACTGAGGTCCAATAGTACCAGCACTGTGGTTCTTCCGCAGTCTGTATTTATACGTATGTCATTAAACACCTTGATAAGAGCAGTCTCTGTGCTGTGGTGAGCACGGAAACCTGACTGGAACACGTCAAAGCGGCTGGTCATATCTAAGAAAGTGTTTAACTGTTGAAACACTGCTTTTTCAATAATCTTACTGATAAAGGGGAGGTTTGATATGGCAGCAGTCAAACTCTAATAAGCAGTCAAACTCTAATAATAAGTTCATACCGGGGTCAAGTGTGGTAAGACAGAATCACATCTAAAATCTGCAGGACACTGGCACATGAGAATTTGAGTCCGCTGCTCCTACAGGGTTATTTCCAGTAGTGCCCTGTAGGTTGCTCTGTCCCAAACCCTTTCAACTTCAGCTTTTTTAAAACATCCCAAAAGCATGACACTGCCAACAATGTGTTGAAATATAAGGACTGTGCAGAAAAAAAATGTGCAGTGTAAGTGTTTAAATAGTTCATCTAAACAAAACATCCTTTGCTGTCACTTCTAAGTAAAAAACTGCAAACATGATTTCTGTTGGCTTTCCTCTTACCACTCCCTCATAAAGCCTATGTTTTGTTCTTTGGATTCTGCTCACCAGGACACCATTTCTGCCACACCATGCCTGCTTTTTATAGATAAACCTTCTCAACACACTTTTCTGCCTCAGCCCACATGTCTTCACTTGGGTCTTAATCCAAGCTCTGCATTCCTGGTCATTTCCTTATAGTAGGTTGTATCACAGTGATTGATTTTTTTTGTTTTCACCAAAAATAAATAAATGTTACATACTTCTAGGAATTGTTTTATTTCACAGCAGCTTTACTTTTACTAGAGTAACATTCCTTTGAAATAAAGTCCCTCATACTTTATAGCTAGTGCTGGATACTCTACACACCTTAGGTTATTTCCCTAATTGAAAAGCAAGTATGCTTTAACCTAAAAAGCAACAGTTGAATGCCAACAATATATGTTCCAGGAGGACTTATTGTTTGTACAAAAACATCATGGTCTTGGCACTGATGATTGGCATTTTTATTTTCTCCTGTTACCTGTTTAATTGTCCTGGTGGCTCATTATGCTCATCTTTTCCACCTGGTTCCTGCTGCTTTCTGTTTGCCTACCATCTGCGCCAGATTATTTGAGCTGCTTGGTGAGAGTAACTCTAGTGATCAGAATTATTTGTTCTGTAATTCTGATTCCGACCTGTTTCTTCCTTTGGATGCCTAAGTTTCTGCCTTGCCCTTGTCTTCTCTGTCAGTTTTTTTTGTTCTGGACCGATACCTGGATTCTGCCGGTTAACCAAATTTGGATTGTACTGTTGACCTTGGCTTGGATTCTCCTCCAGTACCTCTTCGGCTCTCTGATCTTCAGGTCTGTAAACCTGGTTTTGATTCGACTTTGGCTCTAGATATTCCCACACAGACACTGTTGCATCCTTGGCGTCGACTGGCGTCAACTTGCCTAATCGCTCTGAACTCTGGAAGCAGCACGTGATGGACAATCTCCCTCTTGGATTCTTCTCCTTCCTCTGGGATCAGACTGTACTCAGAACCAGGTCAGTGACTTTTGCTCTTACTCTAGTCGTGATCAGCCATATATTCTTAGTCACTGACCTTAGTTTTTTACCCCTTCAGAGAATCTGGTTATCCGTCCCCGCTCACAACCAGCCACACGCTTTATTTTGAGTTTCATAAAGGCTTGTTTGAAAATCATCCTGATATGTCTGCTTTGAATATTGGATCCAAGGTTCCGCGGTCTTTACAAAAAGGTTATTGTTTAATGCTATTTTTATCTACTAAGCATGTGAATATGCAGGGTGAAAAGGTATTTTTATTATTGGAAAATATTATTTTCCTGCTTACAATGATTGTTTAGCTCTTTATTTCAGTCCTTGGATTATCAGAATTTTACCATAACTTCATTTTTCATCTGACTGATACCATTTTTTTAATGTAAATTAGATATTATGTATATTAATATTGGCTCTTGGTATCCTTTTTACCAAATTCTTTTTCCCTTGAATGATTTTGGAGATGGAAACTTGTCAAAATAAACTAATAATTGTACTCTGTAGTTCCCATTCCAGCTTTTTCTAATCTGTTAGTTTTAAAGCTGTTGTGCAAGTAAAAGAGTTTGTTGATGTTTAAGGAGAAAATAAGGCTGTGCACTTTGAAGGTGCTTAATGTTGCGTGCATACAGCAAGAGAAAGAAACTGACAGAAAGGACAAACAGCCTTTAGCCTTTAACCTCTCAGCAGACAGTGGTTTCTCCGATGAGCTCATGTGATTTCTTACCTCTGTCTGACTGTGGAGCAGCACACCGCATGCGGTCTCTCTTCCTCTGGATGAAAAACGCAATCAACCTACATCTGCAAGGAACTTCTAAAAACTTCTTCATTTTTTTGCATTCTTTAGCAGCAGATGTGTTCCAGTAATTATCTGACAGTCTGTGAACGGTTGATGGACAGAACATGAGTGATGTATTTGGGAAGCTGAACAGCGGTGTGGTGTCGTCATGTGCGTTGCAGCACGCTGCAGAGAGAGGAACCTAAAACTGGCAAACATTTCTTGATGGATTAACTAACACCTCCAGGTAGATTGCAAATGTATATTTTGGTCCGCCTGCACGCTGGATGTCCTGAAAACATCTCGCTGGTGACATGGTGTTAACGGCGCTCTTAGTTATGGGACCTCACAATTATTGGCTGATGATGAGGCTAGTTATGATGTAATCTTTCTCACTCCCTCTTCCTTGCACACAGCTACAGCCCCCTCCCTTTCTTTCCTGTTTCCCCACCTCTTTCCCTGTCTTTCTCTCCTATCCTAACCAACATGGCCGCTAAGTCGGATGGAGCAGCGGTGTCTGTGGAAGATGACAACACGCCCAGGAGCCTCTCGGAGCCGGGGAACCCCACCGCCCGGTCCCGCTGCACCGCCGCCGGTGGGAAACCCTACACCCTCCTGGACTGCTGCTGGGTGCTCTGCGCCCTGCTCGTCTTTTCTTCCGACGGAGCGACCGACCTGTGGCTGGCCGCAGATTACTACCTGAAAGGGAAATACTGGTGGTTCGGCTTGACTCTTGTCTTTGTCGTGGTGCCCTCCGCTGTCGTGCAGGTGCTGAGTTTCAGGTGGTTCGTTTATGACTACTCGGATCTTAGCAGCGGAGAGGGTTCAGCCAGCGCCAGCGGGGGCTGCGTGGCGAATGCAGGCGCGGCAGGCGCCGATGCCACAGCGGGCGACAGTACTTTAAGCACCAAGGACAGCGACCAACGCGGTGCGAACGCGGCAGCGGTGAATTCCGCGAATGTTAACCCGGTGTATACATCCTCTGGCCCGACTGCCGCGGCGGGGAGAGCTGGCTCCCCTCGGAGATGCTGCACCATCTGTATGTGGGTTTTTCAAACCGTGCTTCACGTGCTGCAGCTGGGGCAAGTCTGGAGGTAAGACCGCTCCGGAGGTGTGCAAAACAAGAGGGGTGTGCTCGTAGCTGTGTCCACGCGTGCTCCGCGCGTGTGTGCATGCGTTTTGGTTTGTATTTAATTAAGGTGCGGGGTGTAGATGCAGGAATCATATTCTGAACGCTATTTTGCTCTTTTGTTAATCTATTAATGGGATCTCCATGTGTGCATGTTTCCCTGGCATATTGCCGAACTGATCGATGACAGGAATGTAAAGAACCCGACTAGACCGTCAGGAGATGGAACCCCCTCCAGAGCCCATTTATCTCCCAGACTAAACCTTTTTGTCCAGCTGCCATTCCTGTTCTGGTGGTGACTGAGTCTGGACGGATGCTTGAGCTCTACTGGGAGCAGCTCTCTCTCCACTGCTCCCATATGTCATGGTCTAGATATGTTGACAGGACCTCTGTGGTTTAGAGCTCCTCCACCCCGCCTCTTTTGATGGAAATGTTTGCCGTTGATAAGTACAATTTTAGATCGGAACTTATGAAAGGAGAGTATCCAAACACAAAAAGTGCTTCAGGTATTTTTTAAATACCACTGTAAATTGTTTCTGTTATTAGAACAGGATGAACAATCACAACATGCCTTTGGTTCACACAGAAAGTCTTCAACCTAAAGGGTGGTAACATTTCTGTGCTTTTTCATTTAAGTAATTGAAATATTTACTAGAGCATATGGATTAATTTTTCAGAGTTATACTTTGTCTTTTTTTAGTTTCATTTTTATGTTTCGTGTTAAAATGTATCCATGCTGGTATTTATCAGGATCTGGAGTTTTTCTCTCTTCTGTGTGCTCTCCACACCTCTAAAGGTACCTGTTGTCTGCTTTCCATTATCATTTTTTAGATAGTTTTTTACCTTACTTATTTTGATCCACTACTACTGTTAATTTTGCTCTGACTTGATTGATAATTAGTCAAATTCTCCTAAATTTGTTCAATGGCCTTCCAGTCATTAACACTTCAGATTATTAGGGCACTATGTTTGGAATCCAGAGGTTCTTAGTTTGAGCCCCACTCCCATAGACTGCCAATCTGGGAACCTGAGTAGAAGACCCCAAGCCCCACGCTGCTCCCTGGGCGCCTTGCAATGGCAGCCCACTGCTCTGCAAGGTGAAGGGTTAAAAACAGAGTGAATTTTGTTGCGCTGTACTTGTGACAGTGTTAAGACACTAAAACGCTGGAAAACATTAACAAGGGTTTTTGTTTGCAGATGCAGGAGTCAAACATTGCACATTTATGATCAGCTAGAACAATTTTGCTTTCAGTTTTTTTTTTTTTTTTTTTTTAAAGGTTGCAAACCTGAAATTTTCTCTCATGATTGGGGCTGTATTTTAATCAGGGTTAATTTTGAAGCTGAATAAATTTTAAACGTTTTAAGAGTACCAGACGATCTGAGTCTTCTGGTAATCATCCATTTGTAACCAAATCCCTTAAAGAAAACTGTAAACTATAACAAAATAAAAAGAAAAAAAGAAAACTTTGTGGGGGAAAAAAAATACACTTCTAATTAACAAAAAGTCGAAAAACAGCTTAAAATCCACAGAGGACTACCCCCAGAGGCACAAGCTAAGGTTTCTCTAGTCCTGTACTTAAAATTCAGCACAGCCAAGGAAGATGCACTCAGACAGTTTTAAGGGGCCTTAAGCAGGATTCTTTAAATGCTGCCTCCAAAGGCTGATGTCCTGCAGTTTTTAGATGTGCACCCACATCATTGCACCTGAATATAATAATAGGCTAATTAGCAGCATTCATTACATGCTAAACAGGTAATGTAGCTATTTGATTCAGGTGCGTTGGACCAGGGATGCATCCAAAACCTGCAGGACACCGCCTTCAGAAGACTGGAATTTTAGACCCCTGCCTTAAGAAACTGCATTTAATTAAAATGTTAATTCCCTTCTCTTCAGTTCCACTAATAATCTGCATGTCAAATACCCTGTGGCCAATCCACCCTTCTTCCTCCAAAGCGCTGGTTCATGCTACAATGGATCACCTGAAGATGCAGTCTGTTGTTTCTTGTTTCTTTGTTTTTCTTACTGCTTATGTACTTTGTGAAAGACATATCCTGCAGGATTTTTATGCAGTATTTAGATTACTCTTCACCCAATATCCCATGTAACAGATTTATTTTGTACTTTCCAAATGTACATTTTGTAAACCCATTAAATATGAGATAATATTTTGTCATAATTTGTATACTGAGAAATGAAAGCACCTTCAGCAAACAAATACACACACTTATACACACTGACACACCAGCCAGTCAAAGCAGTGCATTGAACTGCAGTTTCATTATACAACTGAAATAGACGAAAAATACAATCTTTAATTCTGAAATACTTAGTGAAAAATGCCTGAAGGAAAAATAATTAAACATTCTTAAATCTAGAGTTACACAGATGTCCACTGGTTGGTTGGGGTGCATACCATGGAAAAGCCTGTCCTACTATCATAGGGTTTGATGATGGGACTTTAATTATAGCTGCATGCTTTGCTTCAGTGAAACTAAGATTAGGCTTTTCAGAAACAAATACATTAGAAAACAAACACAGGATGAGAAAATAACTTTATGCTTAAAGAGAAATGGTTCCAAATAAGTGTTGAGATGCTGGTTATAGACAAAACTGAAAGTTGTATTATGCTGAATGTCTTTTCCTAATGTGGCAGTCCTGCTGTTGGTTAGGCAATAGAAGTCATTTTCAGATTTAACTCATCTCCCGCTGCACCAAAAAGCTACTAAAACAATGTTTCTTCAAACAAGGTTTTATATCTTTGTTAGGAGCAAAAAAAAATTTCCAAAACTTAAACTAGCAAGTTTTATAAATTACAGTGAAGCCATTTGGCCACTTTGTCACATTTCTCAAAGCCTTCGGCATCATCTGCTGCTTCAGTGCAATGAATCATTCACAGGCACTGGATACTGAAAAAACTATCTCATTGGGATGCTTCCTCCCTTTGGCTGATTCAACAAAACGCCACCCATGCTTACTTTTTCTTTTTCACAAACTTATCTCAGGGTAAAGCAACATTAGTACATCATCGATAATGGTAGATTAGTTCTTTTAAATTAATATAACATTAATTTTAGACATTTAGATAAACTTAGACTTGTTCCAAATTAGTTATTTCGAGAGGTTTCAAGTAACAAAATACAAATACTTTGTTACCTTACTTAAGTAGAAAGTATCGCTATCTGCACACAGCTAATTACTTTTTAGACAACTTTTTACTTACACTACTCCATACATTTTCTTTGCAATTATCTCTTCTTTATACTCCTTAAATTTTAGAAACAAACTGGTTAAAAAAAAATTTGTTAGAACTGTAAATTTACAGTCATTTTTACTATTTTTCAAGGCTGCATTTTTAAAAGATGAAATTGTCCAGCGAGCTGTTTCCAAACGAAATTTCTTTTTGTTTTACACTTGCGTAAACAAAATGACACATAACAACTGTCTAAATTCTAAAAGGTTAGTTTGTCTCATTTAAGCCAATTTTTGTTATGGCCTCTTGTTATAAAAAAAAAAAAAAGTTTCATCCTGACAATTAATTTCATTGTGGTTGGAATCTTTACTGCACCATCTTGTTGTTCTCAGCGTACCAAAATAAAATAGTAATAACAATAATAATAATAATACATTTTATTTCAAGCGCCTTTCAAAACACTCAAGGTATAGTGAAGTTATCATCCAGATTTGTAGACAAATGTTCCTTTAATAGAGTAGTGCAATATAAGGTTTAAAGCATCTTACCATAACATTTCTTCCTGCATTGCTTCTTACTGCATTACTTTTATAATTTAAGTCGTTTTAAAACTGGTACTTTTACATTTTTATTTGAGTAAAAAGCTTGAGTTGATACTCTAACTTCTACAGTGTTTTTAAAAAGTAGGATTTATACTTCTACTTAAGTAATAAACATGAATACTTTTGACGCTTCTGGGAATTTCTACATTAAAACTGTAAGTACACTTAGTAGCTTGATAAGGTAAGATAAAGACTGAAAAAATGTGTGTATGAACAAATGCAGATTTGCATTTCAAGATTTTAATTGTATGTTTATGTTTTAGAGGCTTTCCCACATAGAATAAAAGTAATAATGAGTTCCAATTCTATGCAGCCTAAATGATCGTATGTAACCATTATGCTTGGTTCAGATTGATTGAGAAATGTCAGAAACAGACAAATATGCATCACTTCTCCTATTCTTCCAGTTATAATTACCACTAGTAATAACACATCTAACCATCACTCGTTTGGATATGTTTATCACACTAACTTCTGCTTTGAGGTATTTTATAAAGGAGGGAGACACAGGAGCCCAAGTCTGTAGGTCTGATGCTAAGAGGGAAAAAACTGAAATATAAAATAAAAATACAGTTACGGTAATTTTGTCATTAAAGTTCATGCTACTGCGGCGGGTACTGCATCGGCTTTTTCTTGCATGATAAAAACTTATGCTTTCAAAATAACATGAAATCTGTGTTCGTCTCATATGAGGTTGATTTACTGACGAGTAGCGGGATTACATTTAAAGTACTGATGACGATAAATAGGTGATTCGATCTCTGTAGTTAGAGAAAGGCAAAAAAAACAGGATATCATTAAATGAAGATTTGCGTTGCATCAGCGTATTCAAAAATAGAAGATGAGGGAGTCCTATAATCACATGCAGAGTCCGTAATGAACAACTTTAATGAGACACAATAAGGAGCTGAGAGCTGGAGGAGTCGGGCTAAATGTGGAAGTTGCTGCTGGGAGAGTTAGATCTGGTTTACAGTTCTGATATCCAGCAGCAGAGTTTGAAAGATAAGCACATGTGGGAGTGGGGAGAAAACTCCCCTCTGTGATTGTTTCCCTTCAGCGCTGTTTAGATGTTATTTTTACTCTTACTTCTGGCTATATTGCCAAGCTTTTTATTTATTTTTATATGAAGTCAGTATATTTCATAGGCAAATACAGTTCGTCAGATACCCGGA